GATTCTGAAGCCGTTGCCTCCGCTTTGCCCAGGCCTCCAGGCAAGGCAGACCCCAGAGGAGCCATCTGACATGCGCCATGGTCGGTGGCCTGGAGTCAGCCTGTCCACCGCAAGCCTGGGATGCGGCATGTCTGGAGAGCCCTGGCACCCGAGTCCTTCTCATTGCTACAGGTGGCTTTCAGGGAGGGCTCTGGTTTGTACTGAAAACTTCCACAGCACCAGAGCCCTGCTCCCGCTCCTGCTTCTTGGAGCCCCAGGGAGCAGCTAACACGGCTCTTGCTGGAGAACCACCGGGCTGGGCCCTGACCTCAGGGACCAGCTGCACATAGAGTCACAACGAGCCGCTCACCTGGCAGCTAGCAAGACCCTGCCCAGTCACCCCTGCTGCCCTGGCTCCCCCTGTGCCCACTGAACTTTCCAAACAAGCTCGAGTGGGTCAATGTCCCCAGGACACACCAGACACCAGGCGTGCATCTCCTGGCCCCCCGTCGGAAGCCAGCCCTGGTCTCGGTGGCTCCCCCATCCCCACCCTCGGCCAAAGAAGTCCCCGTATGCTCCTCAGCTGGGCCCATCTGTGTTCCAGCTTGTCAGATTAGCCCACTGACACCTCCAACTGCTCTCTGACTGCAGACAGCAAGACCCTGATCTCTGGGGTCTCTGCCAAGGACAGCGAGAGCAGGCAGTGAATCGTGAATCTGCCGAGTGTCAGGGTTCGAAGAGACCTCAGAGAAAATCATGTCCAGCCCCTTCGTTTCATACGTGGAGAAGTTGAGGCCTGAGTGTTGGAGACCTCGCAGAGAGAGCAGCCAGGGGGCACGGAGCTTGGGGATGAGGGTCCTAGGACCAGAGGCCTCTGCAGGTGGAGGGGCCGAGAGGGCCCAAGACTGCAGGACTTTCACGTTTCGCCCAGGCTGCGTGTCCCCCCTGCCCACGCGGCTCAGGGGCTGGGGGAGCCAGTCCAGAGGGAACAGCGTAGGGGTGCTGTGGCTGGTCCCCAGGAGAGCCAGCGATGGCCGGAGACAGAGGCCAGAGGAGCTGCTTCGACACACTGAGCACCAGGCAGGGTGGGGCCGGGTAGGGGGCTTGACCAGCTCGGGGGAGGAGGGAGGGAAATCTGAGAAGGAAGACCACCGGTGTCCTGCCCACCCTCCCCTCCCTCTGACCCTGGAGACCCGGACCACTGGCCTACCTCCTGCGCCCTCTCCCTAGCTGGGAGGCAATGGCCAATGGCCTTTGCTCTAAGCAAGCGCCACCCTACGCTGCCTTTTCCCTTGGTCCCTCCCCAAAGCCCCAATGACCTGTAGGACAGTCTGTAGAGTACCTTCCCTGGACTGCAGACATAGACCCCAGCTCAGCCCTGTACTCAGCACACTGGCCCCTGGTGACTCTATGCATGGAGGACAGTCATCCCACAATCCCTGGGCTTGACTCCAGGGATGCAGGTGGTGTCCCTGTGGTCCCTCCAGACTTCATTGTCCCCCTCCCCTCCCCATCGCCTGGTATTCTGCCTGCACTATTTGCTTGTCAAAACCTCAATCCTTCCATATTTCATCATGTTGTTTAGACAGTATTGTCTGAAGCATGAAATATTGATAGCAAATACCCAAGGCTTGGATCGCCGTATTTGGCAATTGGGCCACTGCGTGTCTGGGACCTGGGGGCGGGGCAGGGGTGCTGTGGGGGGAGTCTCCTGGGGAGCGTGGAGGTGAGACCCGTGACACCCCTGATTTCCCTGGTGGCTGACTCCTTCTCCGGGACCTGGTGGAGCCGAGCAGGGGGCAGCCATCCTACAGGGGCCTGGGGTTACACGGCAGCTGCTCCTAGAGGGTGTGAGTCCCCTCAGCTCTTTCTGACCCCAGCC